CTCTTTAGTAAGTTGAACTCACCACATTTTTTATGTCCTCTTAAATAAAATGAGTGTGGCTCTTGGCAATGCAGCTTATATGCTCATAAAATCTGAGTAATTAAGAAATTTAATTGAGCCTCCAGTTGCTACTCTGTCTATGTGAGCAGCAGCTGGGGACCACCTAATCATTCAGAGATCTGTGCTACTTTCCTTTTGTTTATTTAAAGAGCTGTACGTGACACTGTTCTTTCTTTACAACAAATTCCCTTGAAATATTGGACAATGAATGAAAACAGCATGTAGACCTTGTGGCTATCCCTAGACAACCATCTGAGTACTCTGTAAGTGATACTGAAGCTCTCTCTTTTTGCCTTAGGTCAAAACTCTTTCTTGTGTCACGCAGAAAAATAGCAACATTCTTTAATCTTGAAAGCATTTACTATTAGAAAGGCTAAATTGTCAAAAGAAACATTTTATTGTTATAGAGATTTCACCACCATTATTTTCCACCATATCCTTCACTCTGAGACTTTGTTATACATCCAAAAAAAAATCCAATGTCAATCATCTGTCTCTTGTGGTAGAAAGTGGCATCCATATGAACCTCAGATCCCTCGACTGAGACTTTGAACCCGCCGTACTGATAAACATCCAGAATAGCTTTGCTGCAGTCATTACAGATATCTGGTGTAACTCAGGTCAGGCTCTGTATACAGCACCCAGCTTCTTCTGAGAAGAATCAGTTGCACTCGAATAAATGAAACAGAAACACAAATAACAACCCAGACGCCCAGATTTTTCAAAGGTCTTTCCCCCCCCAAGCCTATTTAGCCATGCTTATGAATAGTTAAAGCATACAACAGCCTAACTCCTACCATATTTCAAAGTGCCTGCATCTCGGTTTTGTTAAGGGCCCAGTTCTGTTGAAACAATTTCAGCTGATAAGATTATTCTGGTAAGCAGGGCTTAACCTTGGGAAAACAAAGAATGGATTGAAATAGAGAGTTCACCCTTCCCTTCTCTTCCAGTCTACACATGCACGCACAGGCTGCTTGCACTTCCCTCTCGTTTTCAACCCCATCCACGCCAGTCATCTTGCCAGGAAAATGCAATATCCCCTTCCACGCGTGTTTCCCACCGCAGGGGTGCAGAGCGCTGATCGGCCTCTGCCACCTGCTGGCAAAGCCGAAAACGTTCAAGACATTAAACCGGAGGCAAAAGTGTTGCCTACGCACATCTAAAATCCGGCTCCTTTAGCTAAAACCGTCATGGTACAAACAGGACAATTTTCTGCTTGCTGTTGCTTTTCCCACAGCTTTGGCTGCGAAGGCTGTGCCGGCAGAACCCTATCAGCAAAACACCTCCACCTAGCCAGGGATCAGGTTAGGAAAGCTAAAGCCCTGAGAGAATTAAATCTGGCCAGGGACGTCAAGGGCAACAAGAAAAGATTCTATAGGTACATCAGGGATAAAAGGAAGACAAGGGAAAATGTGGGCCCTCTCCGGAATGAAACGGGAGAGCCGGTTACCCAGGACACAGAGAAGGCGGAGGTACTCAATGACTTTTTTGCCTCGGTCTTCACCGGCAAGTGCTCAAGCCTCACCACCCAAGCCGCAGAAGGCAAAGGCAG